TATTACATCATTTATACATTGCATTTTTATTTTTTTTTTAGATTTGAAGCAACTGATCAAAATCTCAACACTTTTGAATACTGTCTAAATTTAGGTTCCAAAAAAAAAAAAAATCAAACATATCCTAGCATGTGGAGCTGTATCCCACTATTTTAACAGACCCCTTCTCCCCATAACAGCACTATCAACACTGGCAATACAAAAATTTGCCCAGGTTTACTGTTAGTGTAACACTTATAAAAAGTAACCAAGACCTTTTATTTTAATTGGTGGCTTTGATTTACACAGAAAAATGAAATTGTCCTCAAAAGCCTTGTGTAACATAGGACAGAATGACCATTTTTTGCTTGTCTACTATAATCTGTTATAATACCTGTCTGTGGTATTTTAAAAATGTACATCCTTTTTGCATTATGTTTTGAGTGTTTTCTTTAACTCCTTTTCAGAGTGTGATGATTTAACTAGAAATCTTCCTTATCCACAGACACTTAAGCAACTTGAAAAATACGGACTAACATATTCACCAATGATCACAGTCCATTGCAAGAATTCTGTAGACCTTAGAACACTGCACTTTTTTTTTTTTCCATAACATCTTCAGTATCGTGCTTCAGTCATTTTCTGGCTGAAAGAACCAATTCATTTTCTCTTTAATTCACTCCAGCTCCCGCTTCCACAATTAAAATTACTCACCCTCCACTCACCAAATACATACCTCACCAACAAAGCTCCAGGCTGAGATTACACCACCACCCTTAGCAGGAAGACTAAGTTTTCAGAGAGCAAATAGGTTTATGCCTGCAAGACTGAACACCATGTAAGGAAACAGTTAAACAGAGGCACTGATTTTCGTTACAGAAAAAAAAAGGTGAGTTTTTGCCAGAGGTGGGAGGGAGGAATCACCCAACTATCTGAATATTGCTAAAAGAAAGAGAATGTCATACTACATAATTTTATGCATTCTAATCAAATAACTCCTTACTGTTCTTTTCCTCTCCAATCAACATTTCTTATTTCTGGCCACATTTTTTAGACTGAGTTGATCTTTTCCTATTCCCAGGTGCCCACCACCTTAGTTTTTTGCCTTCCTTGTATTCTTTTCTTTTTACCACACACTTTGTTATAGTTTCTTTTCTTTTGCTTCAGCAAAGCCTGATTGACTGCAGCTTCTATAGTCCATACAACCACTTAGAACTCCTGGCACATTTTATTTCCCTCAAAGGACATGCATTTCAAAAACCTGACTATTGTGCTTTAAAGCCTAGATTCCTATTTCTTTTTATATGTAATAAAGATATAGCCTACTTTTGATCTTAATTATTTGTGTCTCACTAACAAGAAAGGAAAAATTACTTATTTAAGCTATGCAACCCCTCTACAAAAAAATCTTTTTGGTACACCTTGACTTCTCATTTACATTAAGCAGGTAAACTGCAAAAGAGATGTTAGTTGCACTCTCTATTCAGAATTAACAATAAGAATAGAAGCAGCACAATACTTAAGCTAGCAGAAAAAAAGCACATTGTCATTTTATATTCACTTCTGCAATGTAAGCCTTTAGGCACGCACAGAAGTTCAGTTTTTGTACAGGAGTCAATATTAATCAATTGTTCTATTCTACCAAGCCAAAATGCCTTAAGAACATAATGACCAAAACTGTACTTTTCTTTCAAATCTTCAACAATATGCTTCTGTAGATTCTTTTGTAAGGAACATATCTAAATCAGCTTTGGAAAAAGGATTACTTAATTGAGAATTTTCAAAAATTGCCACACTTTCAACACACAAAAGCCTAAAAACTCTTTGCAGGAAGCCTGTATTCGATGCGTTCATCATTAGTAGAGGTACTTCCATAATGCGTAATTTTTTCTTTGTTATGGAAAAAAGATAAATCAGCTAAAATGATAACAAATAAGAACACAGAATTGCAACCAGTGTATTACCTAGACAAAACATACCTAAAACTCTTCCCTGTACTCCCCTATCAAAGGGGGGCCAGTAAAAATCTCTCAATAAAAACCGAGTCTCCGGATATAGCTGAAAAAACTGCACCTGCCAGAATCTGAAAACTCTGGTAATTTTAGCTAACATGACTTGTAGCTTTCCAAACAGCAATTTACTATTGTCCACTATCGATGAACAGGTAGTACAGTACAAAATCCAGAGATCAAGCATAGTACCTAGCTCTGCTATTAAAAATGCAAGATGCTCATAATGGCTTCCTCCTCTAACACTAAGAGTCATTAAAAAAATAATAAAATCTGTGTGGGAATTCAAGGAAGGAGAAAAGCAGAGGCTAAAAAACCTTCAGCTTGAGTATGAGTCACAGAGGATAAAGGATGCAATTTGTCCTTAAAAAATATGTTCTCCTATTCCCTGAGCCTCTGCTACTTCTAGACCAGCACACACCACAAACAGTCTCTGTGATACAGTAGTCCACTAAAGTATTTACTACTACAATAAGCTTAATAAATACTTCAGAAAATGGAGGGCTGGAGGGGGACCACATCAAATACTGAATTCCACAGAGTATAAAGGAGACAATTTAGACTTGAAATTGATTCATGGAGGTAAGATAATCACTTTGGAATTTTATCTTTTCTAGAAAAACAAATTCTACAGGAAAACAGGTATTATTAGCATCCGGCCAACTCTGACTTAAAATACAGAAAGATCACTCAGTATATTGGAACACTAAGACAATTTTTTCAAACACCGCAAGTTTTACAGAATTATGAGACACTGTGCAACACGTAAACAACCTTTTACGAAGCAGAGAGCAGCAGTACTTTGAACACAATTTGAAAAAATAGAACCTGCAAGGCCAGTCTACAAAAATAAATTTTTTTAAAAGACTACACCTTAATTGAAAAAATCCTAGAATATAACTTTATTGTTAGCTAAATCCACACTCCTTTTCCTTAAAATCCTTTTCCCTAAGATCAGTCTAAAAGAAACATTATGTAATTGCGTTTGTGATAAAGAAAAAATCCACTCCTGCACACTTTGTAAGTATTCTTTAATTCTGAGGATTCTATCAGGTAAATGTATTAGCTAAACATTTTCCCCAAAAACACTAAACCAAAAGTAAACTGAGTAGTGGACCCACATCACCTCAAGTTTTAGACCCAAAAGACAGTTAAGAGAAAAAAAAAAAACAGTAAAAATGTCAAAACTGTTAAAAACAATCCACAAATTATAATATATATTAAAAAGTAACAGCTTGGAATTACTTTTCCTTTCCAATCTAGCAGGCTCAATGAATCGAGATTTTCATCCAACTGCAAGACATGTAAACTTAGAAGGTACTGCCAAAACCAGTCTGCCTGCCTTTTTGAGGTACATCACTATCCAGGTTGTTTTTAGAAATGGAACTGGGTCCTCAAACTATGCAACTGTTACATAGGCAAAAACATTCAAGTTCTGGCTTCTTAAATTTAACATACTGTGATGTTATAATCAATCATGTAACTGGGAGACAAGGATCTGAATTTTATCTTGGAAGACAAACAAAAGGTGCGTGCATGGGTATGCTTCTGACTCAGACAAGGAAATTAAGATCAGAATTCATACAAATTACACCTCTGATGAAGAAGAAAATATTTTTACAGGCTTTTGGAGCAGACATCCTGCAAGAATATAAACTCATGCCTCCTCTTAATATGGGAACACTTCGGTATTGAGATAACGTTTACTAACCTCTCAGTGAAACTTCTGCTGTGCAAAGTGCATACTAACACCACTCATTCATCAGTAACTCCAGCATAGAAAGCACTTAGGTCATGTTGGCTGTCTCCACTAACCTCCCCAGTAAGAGCATTTTCCCAGTTTTACTTCTCTTCAGGTTTTTAAGATTTCTGGAATAATGAGTTTATTATTTATTCAAATTCAAAATCCATATAAATAGTGTAGGAAGAAGGAAAGAGGTTGGGCATCATCAGATTCCAGTGCTCTTCATAAATAAGACTAACATCAGCAGAGTGCATACTAAGACGAGATAAAGTTTACATGGAAGGACAAGGAAAAAGGTAAATGATTTACAATGTGCTAAAATATGCCTTATTTACTTGATACAGTACACTTCCAAATTACCTTTAAACTGCATTTAAATCATCAGGCTTAAATATACTAACTAATTCTACAATAGGAGAAAACCACATAAAGTAAGCCTTCTTTTGGATTAGCCGTAACAAGGTAATATGCTATAAAGAAGCCACCAGTGAACAGGGATTATGGACAAGGGTACTAAAGAGACCCCTGCACCCACAATTACTGTATGCCAAGTCCCATCTGTAACTAAACTCTGGAATGTTTTTCTACTTAAAATGACCAGCATGCAAAGTGCTTTGCAGTTGTCAAAAGGCGTGCTATTTCAAATTCTCCGGTAATTCACCAGTAAGTGACAATTACTATGAAAAAACTATTCTAAAAAGCTTTCAGTCAAATCTGGACATATTGGTCTCCACAATTATTATTTCCTGCAATGCTTATAATTTAATCTTAAATTGATTTTTGAAAACTTGTGTTTCATATCAACATTTCTTCTTTCAGCAAGTCAGTCATTACTCAGCAACTGAGTCACCAGGAGGGTCTTATTACCACCTCTCACCCATAAGCAATTCTCTTTTTTCTGAAATACATTAAAGTGCATAAAGGATTTTCCTCAGTTATTTATATGCAGTTATTTCACTTACATTTCAACTTGCATGATCAGTACTCATGCCATTATTAAGAAAGATTGGGTCTCAAAGACTCTGGTACAACTTGGGTGCCTATTGCAGAAAGCCTTGAGGCTGATTATATACAGTGCTAGAATTGCACATTTCAAAGTGATGAACTCAAAGCACTTATGTCAGGATTGTTGAGGACCACTGATAGAATTATTTTACTTTTCCAAAGAAGTGAGGCGAATTCTTAAAAAAACAAATTAAGTGGTTTAGAATTCAGGTAACAGATAATGTCTACAGGTAAATAAATTAACAATACAATGTATTCATTTGTTTAATTATAAATAATTCAATACATTTTTTACTATTGTCACTTCCAACTACCTCTCTTACACCTTCTAGCAAAGGCTCTATCTGGCAATACAGCCTATTAAAAGTATAAAAAGCAAAAAATACCAGGTAACTTTTAATAAGCATTACCATAAGTATCTCCCAGATTACATCTGAAGATACTTACAATAAGAGAACAAGTGTCAGAGTAGGAAAAAAAAAAGAACAAAATTTAAACAGAGGAAGTTCACTGAAATCTCTACACAGTAATTTCTTCACAGTAACTTAACATACTCTGGCTAATCACACACAGCTGACTTCACTGAGGAGAAAAGCCTTATTTTTCTGAAGTGCGGTTGGTAATCACAACAGTGGCAAAAAGCAGGTTTCCAGGTCATGATACTTGAGAGAAGGCCAGCGCCTCTTTGAAAGAATTTATCTCATAGAAAATAAAAACTGTGAAACAATCACACAGTTGAAATATTACAATTAGTTTAAGGTTGGCAGGTTCCACTGGAACAAACTCTTCCTAGCTAGTCTTAATATCTCCCAAGAACCTTTAATGATATCTTGAAAGAAACTAAAGAAGTGCAAACTGACTGCAAAGGGACACAAACGGAAAAACTAAGTCTGTTGTATATTTTCAGGCAGCTATATTTGCCTAACTAAACCTCAAGTCTTAAGTTCTGAATTGCAGTAAATATACTTTGACAGATTCTTCAGTGGAATTTAAGTCAAGTAGCTTTTTTAAATCGATTTTGCCATGGAAATTTTTGTCTGCGAGTCTAGCGCTCTTCCAGAAACAGAAGCAGTGCTAACAGTCCAGGAAGCCTACAGCAAAAGTAAGCGAGGTATGATGCTGAGGTCACTGCAATTTCAGAAGCTTTTCAGCCCTTTACGTAACTTCTTTCCAAAATGGTAGCAACCTAAAGATTTCTTCTGCCAAGTCTATAGTATCTCCAAATCCACATGACGAACATCAGGATTTCGTTGCTGAAACAAAATAAAATTTAAAAAATACATTTTTATTAAAAATATTCAAACACATTTCTGCACATGGATACAAATAATGTTGTTCTAGTATGGTGCTGGCAACTGGATAACAAATCCGCTTTTCTGGTAACATAGGGAATATTTTAACACAGGGACTATGTTAAAACGAGGAATAGCTTCAACAAACATTGCCCATACAATAAGCAATTTTTGAAGGCTAAGTCATCTTTTTATTTGACAAATACTTTTCAACATCACAAATAAATTAGTTCTTATGCTTTATAAACTATGAAGCAGCTCTCTTTGATTTTAAAAGGGCAGTTATTTTTATATAAAACTGTCCAAATAAACATATGTATCTCTCTCACTTTAAGAAAGTTCTAACAGATACTTTCCTGAATAATGGATAAGATGGCTGAAATAATTTGTTCTATGCCATTGAAGCTATTTACAAAGATTCAAAATACTGTTTCTGTTAAGGAATATGCATATTCTGATATTGTAGAAATATGTTATCATCATTACATGGATTGTACAATCCATGAGAGGTTTACTGAAAGTCACCAACTTCAAAGTCATCCAGCATGTGAATCTGACTAGCATATTTAGGAAAGCATATTGAACAGCAACACTATCACTGAAATCCCTGCCTATACCAAAAAACAGTATTCATGTTTATAAAATAATTAGTCATGATCCTAATCCTCAAAAACCATGAAGAACTGGATCTGCTGGTGCAATTAAACTCAAAAATAATATTTTTATTTTTAAACAGCACCACTCTAGGGACAGAAACTAAAACTAGAATATTTATCAAATATAATAAAGCAAGGACAGACACGCTCTTGAGCAGTGTCTCATGACTGGAAAACGCAGTCACGATAGGACTGTATTTGTCTGGCAGTCAGTATGTTTCTAGTTCTATATTCATGTCAGAAAAGGTAAGATTAGCAGCCACAATATAATTATAACATTTAAAATGGAAACAATCCTTTGTTGCATCAACCAAAGGATATTTAAATCACAGAATGAAAAAAAAAAGTAGTAAGAAAGTTATGACAGGCTTATAAAAGTGAACACTGTACTGCTTCAACAAGAGCAAAAATGTTGAGTAAAGTCCTCATCATATGCTGATAATATTTGATACAATGCTAAGTACCAGATTTAAAACAAAAACTGAAATTTACTTCTTTACAACCAGAACAGAATTCAACAGCCTGTAAATAACGTGACATTCTGAGAATACAGTAACAAAGACACAATTTGGTCTCATTTCACAAAAATATTGTTCTACAGTGGTATAAAACTGAATGAAATACAAAACAAACAGATCAATGCCAAAATAAGGTTTTGCTGCTGGCTAGAACTTAGTTAATGATACTATAGCAAGAAAATTTGCATTAGGATTATCAACCTATTCCCCTCTCCCATATTTACAAACAAAATCCCAAAAAGTAGATGCAGTGATATTGTTTAAAATATATCAGAGAATAAGCACTCCCCGTCTAAGCAGCTAAATTTTACCTTTAGGTCCTTCTCAAGTCTGTCTACTTCTGCTCCCAGTGTGTCAATTATATTCTCACCATGCTTAAGCATGAAGGCTTCTAATTCTTCAAGAGTTTTCACTTGTTGAATTTCCTAGGAAGAAATCAAATTCAAGAGGTTGAGAGGAGGAGACAGAAAGGAAAGGAGTAACACTACAGAAGGTCATGGCTTATTTTAAATGGAGCGGGGTGGGGGGGGTGGGGGGGATGGGGAGGACACACCAAACAAAAAAAAAACCAAACATCTTTCAGCTTTTGCCATTTCCTTTAAAATGTCATCTGTTCTTATGTCTCAAAGACACAGAAGAGTAACATCTATTCAACGAAAACAGCTAGCTTACCATTACACCTGAACTTGATATAAAACCTTCTATCTGTAATGGATTTCCTTCTTTATTTTCCAAGTAAATTTAGAGAATTTCATTCATTTTCTAGAAGTTTCTGTGGTATCCCTTGCTCACAGCAAAGCAGAACAGGGTACCCCTATGTATGCCTTCCCCATTTTCATACATTCTTGTTATTCCATTACATTGCTTACTCCGGGCATCACATTACCAAATCATCTGAAAATCCACAAGGATTATTATGAATGCTGCTGTAAATATGGCTCCTCCATAACATCAAAAAACTCGAAGATAGTTGATAGGAATTCAGACTAGCAGACCCATAGTACATGAGCCTGAAGGAATGAGGTTAAGGAAGACAGGATGCTATGCTCCTCCCTCCAAAAAAACACAGACATCAGAAGCACCAAAGCAAGTAATTACAGCATTGTCATGAGCTTTCCTCAGAGGTCTCACACCACCTGGGCACAAGCCATTTGCCCTGTAGTATCTCAGCCATAGTTTAGGCAATACAGCTGCAGTATGTTTCGAACAAATAGGTTATTGCTAACAGACAGAGTAATTACTGAATAGCTAATTCTTCTTGTGTATACAACTACAACACAACATCAATTTCTCCATCCCCCGCTATTACTCTAAAACTGAAGAGGAATAATGTAATTGAGTGAGCTTACAAGATATCCCAACCACTATAACCTATGACTATGATCATGACAAGTCTAACAAGAAAAAGAAATGAAATTAATCTGAATGACAACATTTCAACAAATATTTCACAACTTTAGAAAGAGTAATGTTGATAGCAATGCTAACTGAATGAGCTAGTTACTTGAAAAACTATAGATCAAAAAGCAAGTACTATGTCTGCCCTTGACTTTGGGTGGCTGAGCCTTGCTGAAAGTGGCTATCCTTCAGCAATGGTTTTATAGCTGACACGAGGTTACTACATGAAACTACAATGACCTGTGCAAGAAACAATTGCCAACCTAGAAACAATCAGGAAGAACTTTCCCAACAATACTAGTTGGAAGAACCAGTGAAGGTTGTATGCAACTGCCAAAGGGAATAGTGAGTAAAGAACAAAAGCTAACAAAGCCTTCAAAAACAAAAGTAGCACACTAAACAGCTGCAACAGCAAAGCAACTGAGATCTGGTAATATAAAAGCAAACAAACCTGCAGTGCCTCAGTTGTACAAAGCTGATAGCACTCTTCCTTTCGAAAAATGTATTAAATTGAAATCCAATACATGAACAGATCGCTTATTGCACTAAATATATAATATACATACATTCTTATTTTTACTTTAAAGGGCAGAACTTTTTAAAAACTGGGACACTGACTAATGGTTTAAAAAAATTGCAGTAATTTAAATGTAAACTTAGGTAACTTCTAAGTCATATTTAACAGACTGATGTAAAATGCAGACATCTGACATCTACTTTTCATTTTGAAAGGGTAGCAAAAAAAGAAATCTTGTAGGTATGCAAGCAAATGTACATAACCAAGTTACTGGTGAAAATGGGTAAGCAAGCAAAACATTTTGACCAATTAAAACTCTCCTTGTAATTTAGATAAATTATTCTTTACTTCATAGCTTTACTATGCAGGATCCAGCTTAAGGGAGTTTTGCATTTCTATATTGAAGAGAGAGATTAAGAAAAGCTACTCTGAACAACAAAAAAATCAGAGACAGACACTTACTTAAGGGTGGTTAATTGTTAAACACTGTGAAAATGCTAAGTCATGTGATGCAAGCAATCCATATTCAAGCCTAGTCTGAATGGCAGGATCTAAACCGTAACACTGCATCTTCAGCACCCAAGACAAGTGGCTCTGCCAAAACAAATGCTTATTCTCAGGTGACAGGCTTCCAGTTTTAACCAGAGATCTCGTAATTCAATAAAAATTTACTGGAAGAATTATGTTCTCATCAAAATTATGCTGGACAAATCTGTATTTTCTAACAGAAAATGAGAAAAAAACAACAAACAAAACAAACACCCCAAAAAAACCTGTCCTCCTACCCAGGCCCTACTCAGCCCAGAAGTGGCTCTATCTCAACGGCACGTAATATGACTCTGTGTACAGGTATTTAACACACTAACACAAAGTAAAAACATCTGCAATCCTTCAAAATGAAGAAGTGGATGGAATATACCTCATCTACTTGAAAAATCTTGGGTTTAGACATACTTGAAATTGGAAAGTAAATATCAAATATTGGAGGTTACAAAATCATTTTTTTTAAACATACTTGTAGCAGCTGTTCAATGTCTTGTTTTTCCAGGTAAGAACGAGTAACAACCCGTCCATCAAAGTCTACTTCTGCCTTGAATCTCACTTTGCTCATTCCCATGTCTGTGGCTTTAACATCATGAATTGCTCTGAAACACATAATTTTTAAAGAAAATGTAGAACAACATAAAACAAACAACTAGCTAATTTGACTTGATGTTAACAATATCATCCCAGTAAAATGATCTCGTAATTTTAAAAAGCCACTGTCTTTGACTAACATATCCTCACTTTGCCATCATACACTTCCATTAAATACTGATTTATATTTAACTGGTTATATCACTTCCACAGGTATCTGCTACACTAACACATCTATAAACAGCTCGCTGCAATAAAAGACAGACTACAAGAAGCATCGCGGATTTAGGACTAGATTAATAGTATTAAAAAGCCCCATCCCACAGTAGAAAGTGAGAACTTCACTATTCCGAGTTAAACTTTTAAGTTCAACTTATTTGCTACTGCACAAAAGTTTTTGTGCATATCCATATACATGACACTATGTAACGATCTTTAAGTACCCTCAATTCTGATGTAAGGAACAACACTATTGTCCGTAACTGAAAGCAGACATTGCAACTATAGAAGTGTCCTTTCCTAGATAACTACACTTTGTTATGGATATTGTGTTTGTGTTTTATTGTACTGAATTATCGATCAGCATCTGTAAATGCTGGAAATGGATATTTATTTAAAGGTTCCTAACAGACACCAGAATATGAATGTTGCAATATGTTTATATTTTGGTCCTTTGAAAACTGTTTTTCTATAGCATAGTTTTGTTTTAGTTTGTTAGATAAATTCCGTGATGTGTGAATATAGGTAATAAACAAAAAGCTCTCTATTTTTCAGGGGTAATAAGATATGAAGCAAACTCGGGACCTAGACATATTATGGTGCATTTCAAAGTAGAATAAATATAAAATAAAATCATAAAATAAAATACTCTTAGCTTTTTTCTAATTAGATGAACACAAACTTAGTTTATCTGTAAAGCCAAGTAGAATTTAAAATTGCCACTGCACAGTAAGTTTCCACATTCTACCATCAAGACCAGAAAAAAAAGTGGAGACTAAAATATGGGACATAAAACATGAAGAAGCTTCACATTTTTTAAATACTTTCTTCTGGCATTTCCAAAGCAAAACAAGTATCTGAGGTCAACTATAAGATATTCCAAAGACTCTGGTTTTATTAACAAAAAATGCAATCTTGATAATTTTTTAAAATTCTATTACAAAATTTAGATTCAGAAATAAAGCTCACTTGATGAAAGTACTACGCTTTTTTTTCCCATTCATTTTACTAAATTGTGCAATTTCACAGCATCTTTAAGTTTAGCATGCCCTTTGTCTTAAGCAAATTTACTCTTCCCAACAAGAAATGTTTCTTCTCATCTGAATGTTTGCAAATCAGAACTAACTTCACAGGCGGTGCAGGAAGTAGCCTGCTAGAGTGAACAGCTAACAAAGAACAGGAGGCAGAAATTTAAGATGAACACTCACAGGAAATGTTTATGGAATGTTACTTGTAATACTCAGGGGGGAGGAGGGGTAAGCACATTAAAAAAGAAACAGAACATGAACTAAATATAGAAACACCAAAAAATACATCTTAGTAAACATTTAAGCATATTAAATGAACTATCAGCTTACTGGTAGCAATAAAGAATCTCCAGCTCCAATCGAATTTATACAGATATTCTGTGGGAAGCTACCAAATCAAAACAGTATTAACTGGAGTAACCTAACTGGCATCAAACCACCTCCTCATACAAGAGGGTATTTAAGATAATGGATGTGGTTCAGTGAGGGTTAGTGAAGAGAATCTGAATCCATGTGATTCAAAAATGTTGAAGATACATCAAGTGCCTATCAGAGCTAAGCAAGAAGATAACAAGAGATATTTGAGATTCTCATTAAGCAGTAACCTGATAAAATTCAGTGGAATGATGCATATTCTGCAAACGTGAAGGAAAAAAAAAAGTGTACCTCACTGCTTATAGTCTGTCCAGGAAAGATAAGACAGACAGTCAGGAGGAGAAAAATCACTAATAATTCAAAAATACAAATGTGTATGCTAAAACTTAAGCTACAAAGCTTGCTTATGGAAGCTTCTGGACAGCTAGTAGACACCATCAATTCAAACCAGGGAAAAGAGCAAGCTTCACATTAAAGATAAATTCATCAGAGGACATCAAATTACTGGGTTTGAGCCATCAGTTGTAATACTTTTTTTTCCTTCAAACCACAATGACAGATTTTCCAGCACAACAGCAGCACAATTGCCCCATATCTGTTACAATGAAGTAAAAATTAAAGATGAAACTGTCACTAAGAATAGTTTATGCCTAGGGATCCACGATTACATCCCGTAAGAACAGAATCGGGACAGTCTGTACCACACCATATATTTTATTTCACAGTTCTGAAAGCCTGATCTCCTACATTTCAGTTAAGCTGAACACAAGAAAGATTTAGGCACCTAAAGTGTGAATAAGAGTTAAGAATGGAATGTTTGTATAGCAAAAAATAAAATCAAATCATTTTCCAGTTCAAAATAACTCTGAAAGCCCATTCAGGATCACAAATGAAATAAGGGCCACAACTAGAAATTACCAAGCAAAATTAAAAGAAAGGGGAAATAAACAGCCATGAGCCTAAAAAAAAAATTATCAAGTCCATCAAACTGATAGGAAAAGCATAAAACAAGGCATTGTGTGTTACACAAATCAGTATTTTTTAAGTATAGCAAAACCAAAGGATAACCTGGAAACGAGCCTGCTACTAGATGGAAATGGTAAAATTGTTACTGATGACACAGAACAGGGAGAAATACGCAATAATCATTGTTTTCTTCATCTAAAAAAAAGCATAACAATATATTAGTACAACAAAGCATTTCCCTATTAGTCGCAGAGAAGCATACTGGATATTTAAAAAGAAAAAAAATGCTACTAATTCACCAGGCTCCATAACTTGCATTCAACACTAAAAAGAGCTAAGAATAACTGTGAATGTCAATTAATTTTTCATCCTGCAATACTGATGAGAATTAAAAAAAAGAGTAGATTAACAACACTGTGCCAAAATTTAAGAACAGTAAATGAGGCAATCCATTTAACTAAAGACAAAGTCACCTGACAACTCAAGGAAAAATAGTGAAAAAGGTGAGCAAAACTATATTAAGAGCATTAATACCAGTCATTAAGGTCTTCAGGAATGTAGGTCTTGTCAAAGAACCCGGGGGGGGGGGGGAAGGAAGAAATCAAGATTTAGCTGAAAAAAAAAAACCATCAGCAACACCGAGATTATTTATTTTAGTAGTACAGCAGTTAGTATTGTCTGATAAATCAAATACTTCATAATTAGCAGCAGAACATGATGTTCAGGCAAGCTACTGCAGGAATAGTAAGTTAAGTGGTGCTGGTGCTGACTCGGGCAGCAGGGAGCAGAAATCAGAGCCTCCAGATCCTTTGGTCAATTTGGACCTAAAATACCTTCCGATGAATACTAAATGGGTCCCTAATATATCCTCTTCATATATGGCAGAATACATCTGAAAATAAAGATTGCAAACCCTCCCTGAAAGAACAAGGGAGGACTGTTCTGGGAAGCAGCAACTGCAAAAAGATCTGCATTGAGAATTCAGATACAGTTTGATAGTTGAAAATCCTGAAAGACTGAAATAAAAAGAGCAAATATTAGTCACAGTTTTAGAAGCAGACTAGCACTCAGGAGCTTTCTCTTTTACATTTGGTGTCGGGAAAAAAAAAAAACCACACACACACCACACACACACATAAGAGTAGGTCATACTTCTACACAGCTCCATTTAAGAAAGTGGGAGACACTGAACGTTCAAGAAAATGTTGAAACTTCTATAAGCCCAAAGAGATGTTGCTGAAAATGTACAAGCAGCCTTTTAAAGAAATGCGTGCCATGAGACCTCGTCATATCAGAGGAAAAAGTTGAAAACAAACGAACAAAAAACTTAACTAACCAAAGGTTGGAATAAGAAAAAAATTAGAGTAGCTTTTCCCCCAAATTATGCCTATTTACAAGCAAGGGTAATATACATTTACATCTCAGAGAATTCTGAGATCAAGACCAGGCGTCTTATTAGAAGACATAAGTTAACAAAGTTCAAGATATTAGACTTGTTACAAGAACTTGGTCAAAGACAAAGTGTGCACTAAAAGAAATCAAAGTGGATAATATAATGGATCTAAAAAAGAGATCACTCAAGACAAAGTGCATACAGAAGGTCTTGTGAACAGTGTTATGAGAAGTATCTAAACGTGTTTCAGCTTCTAACCTTATAAGAAACATGCAGTTTCTTATCAAGTCTTCACTGTTTTTATTCTTCCTGCTTTTTTAAAATTAAGTTACTTCTTGTTTTAAAAAAAAAAAGTCTACAGCAAGAAGGAGATGAACTAAGTCTGCTCTGTTGAGAAGTTACAGTCATCTACAAAATGGAATTCAATATAAAATCGTGATTAGGATAGGAGAAATTTTATAATTCCAGTCTGAGACAAGCAAAAGCCACCTGTGCACTTTGGAAAAAAGAACTACAGAAATTGTGTACAAATAACCATGCGAACTCACCTACTCTAACAAAGCACTGTTGACATATGCTCTACCATTCAGACTAATCCAGGGCTACCACAAATACTACAGAGTTTAGGATTTTCATATGTTCGTAACTAATATGATTCTATTCCAAAAGAGGAATCTTGTTTAGCTTCTGGAGTGAAGGGCATGTCATTCAGACCTGTTGCTTGCAACTGAGACAATGCAGCACTTAGTTTCTTTCAAGTATTCTGGTGTTAACTAATGGGCTTGGGTTTTTTCCCTTCAGAGCTCAGTAATAACTACAAACAAAAAAAACAGTAAAATATTCCAGCTGATTTACACAGAAATATATTCCTGCATAAAGATTAAGAAGACAAAAACGGTTTTGCTTCTAAATCAAGGTTAATAGGGTTAAAGCTAAAATAGCTCTTTAAAAAGCATTTAAACAAGACTTCAGAGTCACAACAAACTGTAAGTTTATTTCACTACAAATTGCAGATTTCCAAAGAAAGAGAAATTAGCATTGAGTTCATTCTGTAAGCATCTAACATTCAAAATCTATTACATCTTAATACTACTGCAGCACTTCACTGCCAACTGCTACAGAATTCCAGACACTGAATATTAACAGTAACAGAATTTAAATATTTAAAGTGCTAATAAGCTATAAAAGTAACATTACAGTATCATTTAAGTCCTTGTATTTCATGCATTTGAAAATAGTTTTAAGTTTGTGATGGCTTTCTCATTAAGTCATTGTCAACTCCTGCAATTAATGGAACTGTTAGAACATACTTGCAATTTTATTTCAGCTGTGGAACATCTGAGAGGTACAAGTACTCACTGAAATTTTTAGCACAGAAATATTTAGTAATAATTAAGATTCTAAAATCTCAATACAGAAGAATTCACCCTAAAAATAATGAATCTCACCAGGTTTCTCTCATTTAAAGTGCCTGAACTATTTTTTCGAAATGTTATTTTCTTGCTTTTTGTTGTTCTTAGTAGATACTGAGCTGTAAAGATCTTACCTTACTACAGGATCACTTTCCAGTAACTCGGTGAGTCGCTGCAGTTGTTCAGGTTGAATGGATCGTCCCAGCAGGGCTTCAGTGTTAGTGTAGATTAGAAATGCGGACACAGTTCCTAACAAAGTTCCAACACCTAGAGACCCCACACTGTCATAATAAGGGTTTCCTAAACAAGACATGTCAAATTAGTTTCACAGAGCATTTCTAAAACATACCAGGTAACTCAGATTTCACACTGAAAAAGAGTACGGGGGCCGGGGGAGGTTTTTTGGGTTTTGCTTTTTGGTGGGATTTTTTGGGTTTTTTTGGGGGGTTTTGTTTGTTTTTTCTTAACGCACTGGCAATTCTTTCCTAATGAGGAACAAGATGAAGCTGGAAGAAAATAAGTTATCTTAAGATAAAAGTCTCACATCCCTCTAGTCCCTCAGCCACTATTGTCTCCTGCTGACAAGAGTTTACTCATTAGTCCCGCTATTTGCATTTCTGTGTACAGATTTAACTTTAATAGAAAATTGTCTACACCTAAACACAGGTAATAGCACAAAAGTCTGTGTTCTTTTATCAGTGACTCAAAAACTTGCAAGTATTAACCATTTCTGGAATACAGTACTTACATAATAAGTTTTAACCACGTATTCATTCATAGTCAGATTTGTAGAAATAGCAACGCATTTTTAATTTTATGAAGGAAACTAGAAATGGAATAAAAACTTGACTTCTATATAAAAGAATGAAACTTGCATCAGAAGCCACAAGGAAACAAAAATTACTGTTTGGGTTTTTTTTAAACAATTAGAAAGCCAAAGCCAATACTTAAAAAGGGACAAATAAATAATCCTCCCTCTTTAGAAAACTTAACTGTGCAGCAAAGATAGACTTTAAACCAGTTGCCACACAGATCATCCTACCTGCGTGAGTTAGGTTCGCCACACTGTTCAGGAGCAGCTATTGTAATCTGAAGATAACGCTAATACCACTACGCATCAAAAGGAAGGAAAGAACTGCTCCCTTAAATCCTCCCCACACGCACATGGAGCTGCACACCACAGAATAACAAAACCCGAATTACGTAATCCCACCATTGCACAAAACTGTTTACATAACTGACAATACAATAAATATATCTTTAGTAAAAAATACTTTAGCTTGTATGACAAAATAGCTCAAAAGGAAGACCCATCTGCATGCACTCTTTCAAGCTTAACCCCATCAATAGTAGACATCTGAAAAACACCAAACTTTTTATTTTAAATATTTTCAACTCAAACTACTAGAAATCAGATCAGAGAACAGTATAAACCTCCAGAAGCTTACACAGTACAAGTATCAGAAAAAGAGTAGAGAGGTATTTAAGTTAGCCAATATAAACTAAATGCTCTGTGTTCATATCATGCATAAGAGGAAATTCACATCTTGCTTGCCTCAGTTTGAGGCAGAATTTTACCTGTTAAAGAAGTCAGACCCATACAGGTAGCAGCTACGGCCACACTCAGAACTGCTGCAGCATCCTCCAGTAACACCACATTTGTACTTGGATCACGACTCTGCACGACTGTGTATACAACACAAAAAATTACATTGCTTTGGAAAGCTTAGCTTTACTACATTACGCACAGTAGTTAAACTATACTAACACCAGCAACTTAAAAGAAAAATTTCTGTAAGTATATAGGTTTAAACTGAGTTTTTGCATATGCACGCACTTCTGAAAGCATTCATAAATACACAGAACAAGCCCTGTGCTAATTATGGAACCTTCTCCAAAAAGTCTGAAAAATTTAAAGGGGCATTTATCCTGAAAAATGCAAGTAGTTTAGTAAAAGTATCTAAGTAGTGTCACTTAAATCAACAGGTTTTCACCTGATTTGTAAAATGTATTTGTTATAAAATAGAAAACAGATCAATAAAGCAAGGAGAAAGGGAAAACAGACAAAATTGTTTCTATCATTATGCAAATACTGGTAAAATAGATTGTTTTAAATAACCACATACCTTATTGCTATAACAACACATACCATATTGATAAAATGACAGCCCCTTGGCTCGAGCACTCCTGCGAATTTCATTTATAGCAACAAGAAGGGTAGCTGAAACAACACCAAAGTAGTTGCTGAAAATAGTTAGAGGTAAAAAGACTTGTTTCCATTTTGAAAAAGAGGGAACTTTATATCATAGCAACAGATCATCAAGAAAGCTCTGATTATTGATACTTTGAATAATGACAAAACATAAAGTTACTTTCTTTTCCACATGTCTCTCCCATACTAGTCAGAACAGTTATATTCCCTGATAGAATGCCTTTTTGGTAATAAACTATGTAAACTTTCCAAATGTGTTCTTCAACTTCTCATTATATACACAGATAAGAAAAAAAAAATTTCCCACTTCTTTTTTTTGTTTGTTTACAACACAAGTATTTGCAACAGAGCTCAAAACTTTACTGTGTAAAGCAAGGACAATTATTACTGTAATTACTCACATTCTACTCTTAGAGATTACAATTACTTAAATAGAAATAGTTTTCAAAACTGCATACCTCCTTCAGATACCAATGACCCTGCTAAAATGCAGTATGCCTGTATGAAAAAAAAGTCTCAATTATTAAGTTATAAGCATATTTGTACAGATCACTTCACCACAGATTGCAGCATTCCAGAACCTCATTACCCACTGTGCCCTGTCGCTGTCCCTAAACAGAAGGCAACCAACAATATTTGAATTATGCAACACATTACAAAATAGGACAGGAGGATCTCTTGGGAGGTATGAAGGGAAGATGCAACGTTTAAAGAACAGTTCCTTTTTGCTCTAAGATCAGCTATAGTTAAACACGTTTTTTCCTTAAAACACATTCTCATTAAGGATGGTTTTAGTTAATCATGTTGGGATTTAAACTGACTCAGGAAGTGAATTTCAGACTGTGCCATTACTTTCTACTAAGTCACCAGTGTAAGATACAACATCAAACAAGATTAGCTTACCCAGAGAAGAGATTCTATAGGATGAGGATGCAGTAAACCTATGATCCCATGATACCAAGAAAGTCCCGCACCCATCATGAAAATGCCCACTCCACTAATGAGAGAGGCAATATAGCGCATGTTTGTGAAACCATACCTGGATGAAAACAAAAAAAGTGATTTAGGAAAATAAGATTCTAAATCTCTGCAAACATATCTACAAGTTTTTTCCATTAATTTTTACATGTCTTAAATTATCATCATATGACTAGGCATCTATTTAAGACACAGTTGCTAAATCCAATGTAACGCAAGGAAAAAAAAAAAAGCCGCCTGGAAAACAGTATCTAGCACATGCAAGGACATCAAGCATAGATATTTTTCTAAATCATTTTTAAATGAGCTATTTACATAGCTGTATTAGCTCTTGTGCAAACTGAGGATTTTACTACAGTAAAAAAAAAAAACCAACATTCATGTCACTTTTACATTTTATTGAAATGCTACTTCTAAACAAAAACTCTAGCCTTACAGGCAGCCAGTCTACATATTTTATAATGCTAATTTAAATGGAATAAAATTTGTGACATCTTTAAGTAGTTCAGCTAAGTGCAGACACTCAATGCTTGCAGTTTTTAAGAGCATTGGGAACAGCAATACTAAACATGTACCTTTATTCCTTTTTTTGGTATTAACTGTTACTACAAACACTACATTTCTTTAGCAACATTTAAAAACCAATCGTTCAAAAGACTGTATCGAGGAAGAAGGGAAAAAAGTGAGAGGGGGAAGGAGATACAACAAAGACAAATTTAAGATTAAAATATTTTTCAAATTACCTGATGCTCTTAATGAAGAAAAGCTTAACTAATTCTGTAAATTAGACATATTTTGAACTACTGCTTACAGTGTGAATGACTTGCCCAAATACGTCAAGTGTAAAGCAGGTTAACACCAAGAAAATATCATGGAGAAGACAGCTTCTAACTTCCGTGAAGCTGTAAGAACTTAACAGTAATACCCCTATTACTCAGATAAAAACAGAGAGTAGCTTAAAGCAGCTGCCTTGCAGAAAAGCATTTTGTTGAAAATAGGATATTTTTAAAAAAACCTTGTTATTCACATGAACAGTGTTTAAAGACAAAGTAAATCTATCCATTGGAAGAAGTAGAAGAGCTCAGAATAACTTGAAGAAATAACGTTAATTAAAATAATACACATCAAAAAGCATACCACAAAAAAAAAAAATCATGAAATATAACATGCATGAAGCCACTGAAGCTACAACTCCTGCAGTGTGGAAGAAATCTCTTATTTTATCTATTGTAAAATCAGAAACAATGCATTTCAGAAATTATATGAACAGCAGATTAAAAATAACAAGGTGGTGCACAAACAAGAACTGATCTTACTCCTATATGTAATTACCAAAATCATTATTTACTCAAAAAGCTTACGGATGACTAGGGTCAGGTGTCCTTGCAGACTGACTGATGCCCAAAGCTAGCAATGCCTATTTAGGACAAAAGGAAAAAATCTTTGTTAAAAAAGAAAGGTGGGGCAGGGGGGCAGAAATCAGAAACATTCTCTATCAGCTGAACTTGAAAGATAAAGGCAGATGCAATTTGCTGATCTGCACATATGTTTTGTTGCTGATATTTTATTAGAGCTGGAATATAATCCTCAAAATCTGTCATCTAAATCTACCACCCCCCAAAACCTATTATACCTCTATATATAATATAGAGGTAATTCTATAGTGTGTGTGTGTATATATATATAAACACTGTTATAATTTTAGGGTTACAACCAAAAGCGAACATTACATGCAAACACAAGCATTGTTGATCTGCTTCAACGTGAAGGAACGAAGTTGTTCAGGGAACAAAGCTATTTAAATAAATTCCTCTTGAGAAATTATACAGATATTTTGGTGATGGCATACTACATTTAAAGCAGTAATTTTACACTGCGGTTTCTTTCAGTAGTGAACTTCGTATTCTCCAAACAAAAGAAAAAAATTATTTTGAAGGAAGAAATAAAAACCTCTTGCTATCTCAATGGTCTATTTGGAATATATTTAATTAGGCATGTAATAAACTACTGATGCAGTAAGTTATAAATCTAGACCTCAATTTTGCAAAGCATGTGTTTTGTTTTAAGATTATGAATTACTGCAACGTAATAACAAGTATTAAAATTTAGACACTTCAGTCTTCGCAGCAGCAAGCTGCTTTGAGACAGCAAGGTTTCTCCTGTGTTTTTCCCAAAACCACATACTCAAATATTTGAGAAAAAAAAAAAAATGCATTTCCAGTGGAACATTTAACTTTCACATTTAAAAACCAGAATAGCTCTTCCACATATAAGTGGTAGTTAATATCACTGTGAAACTTGGTTCACCTATAAAATTGACAGACTTGGTCAAATGAAAATCACACACTTTAAGGCTGCCTCTCAATAAATTTCTTTAAGTATTACCACCTGAGTTAGTAGCACCCCTATCCTCACTTTACAGCTGGAACAGCTGAAAGGTTGCATAAAACCATTTACAAAAAAATAGCAAACAAAATGTGAATCCTCAACTCAGTCTTTCTGGACAGAGAAGTATTCTAGGTACAACTGAAGCAAAAAGGTAGCCAAAATTATGTTTAAATCCTTAAAATATTAAATATTCTCTAAGGTTCCATACGTTCCTCACATTTGGAGGAGCACAAGACTGTTGCATTTTACATGAGTCACAAGCTTTGCAAGGACTCCTCTTGCTTGAGCTGCAGGAGCGTTTCAGCATCTCATCTTTAAATACTTTGTTTCCAACGCCCTGCTATATCAAAACTGCAACAAGAAAGATTCTCTCTACACTGGGAGAAAAGGAAATTTCAAGGTCTCGTAAGGTATGCCTGAAGCATACTAAAGAAAATAGTGGGGGAAAAAAATCCACAGATTAATTTTATCCCTGCACACTAATATTACACGCCCAGCTCAGAGTCTGCCACGCCACCTATCAAAGTAGATGTGCCAGGTTACGTGGCTGCCCGTGCTGTGAGGCTGCTAAGGCAGTCTAGGAATAGAAAAAGAAATCGAGACGCTCAAATTCTCATCGTAATTCTACCAAGAGACGACTAAGCAACAAGGTCTGTCATTCTATTACAATAACTGACAGAAGTATTTCAAGTTAACATTTAACCAAAATAAAGAGATATACTTTGTACATCCCCTTAGTTTCAAGTCCTGCTTATGATCCATGAAGTAGCTGAGTATAGTTCTGCTTACAACTCCATTCTTTCAACTAATTTCTAAAAAAACTACAGAATCTACATTCTGACTTGTCTCATTCTTACATTAATACAAATTTAAAACCACTCGATTTTAATTTTTTTACTATCTGGACAGGCACTCAATATTACTTTAAGATGACCGATACATCACTCTTGTCCAGGAGGGGCAGGGAGCAATGCAGAGAGGAACGAACACATAACCCAAATGACTGAGTTTTTGTTCTGACACTGCTTCGTAAAGATAAGCCTGGTGACATTATGCACATGCGTTGTGATATACACAAAATTAAGCCTGTCCTGGGACCTATTTCCTAATGTTTGTATATTTGACTACTATTATAACCTGTTTAACCTTTTTTGGTGCACTTTCAACTTGACAGTTATAGGGCAAATAAATTGCAACCGAAGTACGGAACAATCAATTACATGAAAAAACAATAGTTTAGAAAAGAAGAACAGAAGTAATTGGGGCAGGCGGTTTGAAATAATGTGGATGTACTACAAATAGTATTAGCACAAATATCAGTCCAAACACTATTCAAATAGATTTTATTTCTAATTACACGTGACTCTAGATTCCTTCTGCATTTAAAGCTTCTAGACTAGGTCAGTTAACTTACTGTTAGCTTACAAACCCTCCACCAAATTACTGGCATCAGTATAAAAAAAAAGAGCAGCTAGATAAACCTCTAGAAACCACTAGTTTCGGCAAGTAAATTTGCAAGAGAGTAACAACAGCTTTGCACACAGATTGAGGAACAGCAGAAAGCTCTGGCTTCAACAGTATTTCTGAAGTAATGTGAAGGCATATTTTGTCAGAAATTCATCCACCTACAGTTGATAAAAATCTGTATATAACAATAATACTACTTTGCAAGTGAGATTCACTTTTGTCTCTAGGAAGCTAAAAAATATACATGTATACTACACACACAAAGAGAAAAGAGTACATCTTGCTCCCACTGCATGCACACAGAACTTGTCACACTCTGGGCAGGTATTGTAATCTCAATGACTGAAACCAAAAACTATTTAATAATAAAGTAAAACACAAAAACACCCTCTCCCAGATGAAACTTTATTTAAAAAACACCTTTAAGACTGTTCTGCCTCAAAATTATTTAAATAGTCAATAGATTAAGTACTAGCTTTTTTCCTCCTAGAATATATTACTATTAATTCTAGGAAGCATGTAAACCATACAAAACAGTACAAAAACCATCACAGGTATTGAACAGGAAGAGCACTGTAAACATAGACCACAGCAGAATCTGAGAGTCATTTTTAATAAGAGTTTTGGCTAATAAACTTGGAATTTCTAGGTTTCTCTACAATACTGATGTTATCTATGAGCAAACTTTGTAAATAAAACCAAATAATTTTGCTATGCACTCCAGTCCTCCTAAATAAAATACTGTTTTCATTTCTCTGGTGTTTACTATTTAGATAGTATAGGCAAACACTAGTAGACTGAATTATTGCTTTCAAGTGTAATACAACTACTGTAAGTATCTGCCTTTATTCCTGAAAAATTATTACAAGTGCTAACTCAAGCAGAATGGAAAAACTACTCACCTGGTTACATGTGTCTGCTAAAGAATGTATGGCTTCTGAAAACATACTTGCAGAACCCGTGTAAACCCAAGCAAGTAGCTTAAAGAAAAAATTCAACCCATTTCTGAAAACAAAGAGAAGAAATAAGCTAAAGAACATCAGAATATTCGGTCTTCGTATTTCCAGCAAAACCACAAGTGCTGTATAATCATGCATACCTGCCAGCAAGTGGTGAAACCAAATACCAGTTTAAACACTAGAGACCTGTACAGGCAGATAAGGCATACAGATTTTCTGCATGATTACTGTTAAAAAGCCCTTTCAGCTAAACTTGATATGTAAAGATATACAGTTTATTTTTCAAAAATGGTTAACTTCTAAGCAGTCCTGAACAAGTTACACTTCCTGAAAACCACCATCACATTCACTACTCAGGACAAGTAATTGCCTACCAGTGGGAGAATATAAGCCTTAACGCTTTCCTTCTATCTTTCTTCAATCCTTAGCCTCCTATACATCCCCTCCTAATGCTGGAGTGCAAGGTTTCCCACTTCAGTCTCAGCTTGGGCAATTCCCAGTAGGATATGAACATAAGACAACAGACAGGAAGACAAGGCTGTCATTAGATTATGCTGTAAAAATTATTTATGAAACTTTTCCATGAAGATGTCCAGTGTGACTAGTCAAGTCTTTTTACGTTACGAGCTCACTGGAGTAAGCATTCTGTTATGTTGTATAGGGAAAGCTAACTATCAGCACTAAAATCCAAGTCTACATTCTCACTTCAAACACCCATTAGAGTCAGTTGGTTAATTGTTACAATCATATTGCAAAGAAAATCAGACTGGAGGATTATTACATTCTCCTCTATCTTTTTTAATGTATTTGAGTTTAGCTTATTGGCAATTTTTAAATGAAATTAAATGTTATAAGTAAGTAATAACAATATCTGGTGGCTGCATTTTTGAACAACCACATGTCAAGAAACTATATTTAAGCTAGAGGAAGCACAAGCCCAGCCCTTTGCCATACACTAAATTATATAGTTGATTAAACAACATTCATTTCCAAGGTCATGCTTAAAGAATTTCTGTGACAGTACATTCACTTCTCCAAGGAAGAGGTAGCACTGTTTTCTATACGTCCTTATGTTTAAGGACCTGAACGCGCTTTACAATTTTTAATTTAGTCTCATTACCTCATGAGATGGTGAAGCATCACCATAATTTATAGGTGGGAAGTAAAAAAAAAAAAGCATACGTTAGTGGATAACCCAAGAAGAAAGGAAGGCTAATTGTAACACTAAACCATAATTTCAACTCCCTGTGTTAATTACAAATTCTTCCAACTCACAGCATAGTGCATCCTTAGCACAGAAAGAAAATGAAACAAATTACAGTGGGATTCATGAGCACAGTCTCTTGTCTTTTGTATTGCTCTTCTCAACGTTGTATTAATGGAGTTGACAGCTTATCTGAAGGTATAATTCAGTTGTGGGGCCCCCACCTGTTCTGATGACATGAAAGGTACTCAGCTGGTATTTTATTTCATTCCTACAAATTCCGAATTTGTGGGGGGATTTGACATGCTAGAAATCTAAAAACAAGCCACACTAAGATTTTCGAATGTCAGGCCTAGCAAAATCAATCTGCTAATCATGTCCAGTAAGTTGGAGACATAGGATAGAAAGACGAAGAGTGCTACATGGGAAATAATTACAAAAAAAAATAGTAAGTCTACAGAGCCATTAAGGCTATTTGGTGTTTCCTGTCTGACTAGATTTGATAAAAAATTTCAGATCCATTATGAATCTACAGAAGAAGTCTTCTATTTAGGCTCTAGATTTGAGAACTAAACACATTTCATCATATCTGTTTCCAAAGAAGGAGTAACATTACTAGCGTCCTTGGCCATTAGTATTTTTTTAAAAATATTATATACGGTGCAAACTTTGTGTTGTTCAGAAGCTAAAGCATTAGTATGACAATGAAATCACTTCAACAATGCCAGACTCTGAAGAATGTTTTACTAATAATAGATCATTCCCTTTTTGATAAAAAGCACATTACCTTTCTTTATTTCTCTAACAGAGCTTCAAAGTTTTTCCTCACACACAGAATTCTATTAACAACACAGTGTGCCAGTGCAGCTGGTCTATACCCTCACATGTGGATCCGTAAAGAAGAACTCTGCTTTTGATTGAATCACATTTCATCTTCACTGGGGAAGCCTGAAGCTTGTGAAAAGCCTACCAAATCATTCCAACTGGAGAAGTTAAGACAGATTGGCCTTTCTTGACCCAAAACCAGCAGCCATTAAAAATCATGCTGATGTCAAGAAGATCAGGGCCACAAACAAAGGAGCACTGACAGTGGCCTTGAATTAAGTCTCTGAAAAGTCATCAGGTATTTGAGGGCTACGAGATCCTTTAACTTCTAAAAAAGCTCCACAAAAAGATGACTGAGCAATACAACCAGGCCTACAAACTTCTGCTGGCCTGGCTGCCAAGCCTTCATCTATAAAAGTACTTAATCATCCAAAAGGCACTTATGACATGAAGAGAGTGCAATGTTTATAGTAATGCCCTGTTTACAAAGCAGGAGGAAAGGTTTCTTTTCTCTAGATCATTGTAAGAAAGTGAAGGAGGTGGAAGTGACCATACATCTCCCCCCCTTCTTTTTCTTTTTTTTTTTTTTTTTTAATTCCATTAGAAACATCCATACTAGCAATTCTATCCACACTATCAATATTGTCTTAGCAAATAAATACATTTCATAAAATCAAATTTATTTTAAAAATTCACAGGTTTTACAGCAAGTAAATTTTAGCTACCATTTCCTGAGAGAAACCTAACACACTTCTGTGTATTTCATGCCAGATAGTCCCTGTGTTCATTTGCTTTAAAAGTGGTTATACGGAAGATTGTTTAAAACATAGGAAAATCTTCCTCTCAAGAATGAGCAAAGAAAAAGGAAAACTTTAAATGCCTGCCTCTCCACATCCTTCAAAATTTTAGTTTTTACTTTAATAAGCTGTTTAGTCTGATCGACTTCAAAAAATTTGCTTTTCCATGATCAGAGATATATTCTACCCCTGATCTCTATATATTGATGAATGTATTTACCTAAACTCTCTCCAATCAACAATGAATAAACAAATCTATTAAATTCAGTTACCAAGACACCGGTATCTTTAGCTTGAACACACAGACTGTTCTTATCTTCAGGATAATAAAAATAAATTGTTTTATACTTGCATCAACAAAACATTTATTTTTTTAAACTTACATGCAAATAGCTACCATTACCACCTTTCCTGGTCCCTTGAAAAACATAGCTGCTGCACTGGAGCGTGGCTACATAAAGAAATAAGAGATTATTAAAATAAAATAACCAAATCTTGATCTCATGAAGGATCTACCACACAAACTATTAAATAAAAACTTTGCATTGCCCTGTGTTGCAAAAGTGAACTTACAGTCCTCGAAGTCTACTAATCTACTACTGAATGCTCACCCAAACTGCAGTTGGGTCCTACACATTTCTACATGGCTGGCTATAAAAATGACAAACCACCAACAAAGCCTCCAGCAGGTGCCACTGCAACTATAAAGACAGGAGCCAGCTGTGCAGAAGAAGATTAAGAAAAATCACTCTACCATAGCAGAGCACCTGGATCCAGGGAATGGGTCTGCTTAAACAAAGAGGATGGGCCACTAGGGCACAGAGCAATGTTAGTTTGGGGGGGGGGTTTCCCACCTAAAAAACCTGTTTCATTGTTTTTAAATTAACAATATATTTACTATACTTGTTTATAGGTTACACATGAAATCACAAATACAGCTGCAATTTTGTTAATAAGGCAGTAATTGATTTTAAAAAAAAAGTCTTACTTGTGGATTACACTGCCATGTAGGAACCCATTTAAACTGGCATCATAACATTTACTACTATGTTACAACCAGAGAGAGACTTGGTATAACACAGTGCAAATAACTCTTCCAATAATATTCAGATAGTTAAGCTTATGCAACCGTTTCACAATTTCTTCCTTCAAAAGGTGTCATAGTACATCTCGTGGCATTTTTCTAGCCCAAAACTTTAAAACATCTCTTACCTTAGTATTTCCAAAGAACTCCCTGTATTCCCTCAACAGCCTTTGGTTTCTAAACAGATCTGCAATACAAAAGTGTTATCATGAATAGATACTAGTAACCAGTAGTTTCAGGAATTGAAGTCTACTTTTTTATGCAGCAGACAACTTCTAGTGAGAGCTATATGGTCTACCTTTCTTTGTGAAAATCTCCTCTCCTTGTATTGTTAATTAGAAACACACATTGTTATACCACTCATGCAAAATGCCAAATACAATCTGTTATGATCCTATACATCGTTGCCATTTCTACCAACAAAGGATGATACACAGAGGGAAAAATTCAAAATACACTGCACTAAATCCAGGCGTTCTACTGCCTGTCTCTCGCCCCTTAACCACAAAAGAGAGGCGGAAGGATGTTTCAAAGCAAGTCTCTTAACATCAGTATTTTTCTATCCACTAATGATGTTCAGTAACTTCAAAATAAACATTGGTATTCTACAGTATTTAGAAGCTCTACTGCTAGAGTCTCCCCTACAAAGTTATACAAAATACATTGTACACAATAATTTAAATAGATTAAAACAGTCAGTGGAGTACAAGGATAGTCTGTAAAAAAAAAAAAAGGTGAGTTACCACTTAAAGTATACAATGTTTCAGTATGCTATTATGACTGAGTAGTATTTTTTTAAATCTCATTTTTATGATTATGTCCAAGAATTATTCTGCTGGTCACTAAGAATTTTGAAGCTACTGACAGCGATCTCAGTACAAACACTTATAGGCATCTTAGCAAGTGCCTGCAGCTCTAGCCTTTTTACTAGGAGGGTCTTCCAGTGGCACAACTGTTTCAAAAAAAAAAAAGTGAAAATACCTCCCACTTTAAGGCACATACTTGGAACAAGTACCTCAAAGTAATATTGCCTCTCCTGACATTTTAACTGACCAGACAGATCAAAATCCATTACAAACTACTTACTGGACTGTATCTGTTATTGATAATACCAGCAAGGATGACTACAATAATTTTAAGCAACAAGATGATTTGGGAGTGGTTCCCTCCCTTCTGAAGTACAAAAGGTAAGTTGCATTCATTTCAGAGGAAAAATAAGTGACTAATGGCATGGTATAAAGACCTGGATTGGTTTTAAGTCTTTTCAAAATTCTCAATAAAAAAATCCCAAATCATTGAAGGTGTTAGTTATAATCTAAAAATTGAAAGCCCCTCAAAAAACAAAGTATGACTATAGATCTCAATGGAACATATATTCTTGTTATATCACATAGATGATAAACTGTAAGATAGTAACAGACTATATCTGCATAGGTAGCAGTGTTAGAGTAACACATTACTATAAAACGTTATCGGCAATTGTCAATTCCAAATTTGTATGTTCTCACTGAAATAACACACCATCTAGTGGATTTCTAACAATCATACTTTGTTGCTTTCATTTGAAGGTATTTGAAAACACTATACTCACTTTCTCTGTACTTGATCTCTGCCTCTTTACGTCGTTTTCTTTCTCTAGCAAGAGCCTCTGGACTACCCCAAACTTCAAGAGACCTGCATAGAGTAAAAGTAACTTAACAATGGTTCTATTTATGCAACTTCTTCTCAGTCTGACTACATTACAAATGCCTTTCCTAAAAGCAGAACATCACATCTTTCTTTCTGATAAGAAGCCATGCAGACTACCTTACAGAATAAAAAGCTGGGCAAGAGGGGGCTGAGGACAAGCACTTAATCTTTGGACACATGAAACATACCCTCCACTTTTATATATACCATGTAATTATTACAATAATGAGGATATAAAATGTATTCAGATAGAAAATGGAAAACATTATTGCCCTTTCACATTGTAAACCTGACTTCTAAAAGTTTTTTTTTTCTCTCTCTCTTTTATAATCCATTTTAAGTGATCCAAACATCTTCCTTCATAAAAATGTTCTTACTTTGCCTCTACATCTGATCTCAGGTACACAGTGAAAGTCTCAGTGTCATCATGGGGGCTTCGTCGTTTAATTTTCCTCAGCTGGTCTAAATCACTAAAGAAAGCAGACAAACAGTTTAGTGCAAGAGAAAGTTCATATTATTCTAATTTTACATTTATGTCTGGATGATCTTCCACAATTTTGATATTATTAATTTGCAGTACAAAAAAAATGAATTTGTTTACTTGGGCCAAATAGAACAGATACGCAACATGAAGCAAGTGATCTCTAGGACGCTATTGAAAATCACTGTGTTTTCCACACTCAGAAGTCCAAATCATGTCCTCACACTATGAAATACTATACATGGAAGACAAAGTAATAAAACATTGAATAATAAAACATCCAGTGAATGATTAGCATGTAATTGTTAACATGCACAAGTACTAACAACAGAGTTCATGGCTTAACATCTCTAAATGGAAATCAGAAGTCACATGACATGAAAAGTTAAGAAATTTAACCTCAAAGCCTACACACCCAGCACAAGCTGCAAAAGGTTGGAGATAACAAAGCCACTTGGGGGAACAGATAAATTTCTTGTGCTGAGCTACACATTAGGGCATCCACATTGAGAAGCATCATGGACTGTTTTGTTCTGTGTTGTTTTGTTGTCTTTTTTTTTTTTTAGCCCAACCAATTATCTAGTCCTTTTTTCTTTTTTTTTTTTTTTTTTTTTTTTTTCTACTCCATTTTGGTCAACCCAGCAAAACTTTAGCTAGTTATTTCTCTGCACAACAAGCCAGTTATGATAAAAACACAGCAGAGGACTAAGCATAATTTGTCACTGGATTTTCAGCAAAGACCAAGTCTGGTGACATGCACTATATGTAAAAACTGTGGAGGAACACTGACAGCATAAAAAGTTATAAACAAAGCTGCTAAGCCTTTAGATTTAATATGGTTCACTCACATAACATGCATGAAATCTGACAGACACCTCAACTATAGCGATACTCAGTAAGACCTGCTGGCAGGCATAGCACATAGTAAAAGGCAGTAAATATGAATCAAGTAACCAGTTAGGTTACAATTAGCCAGATTATATTTTATTCCAAATTACAGACCTCACATAACATGAAGTTTCCAGTGATCTTTTAGAGATCTTCACCTCAAACCACTGTGACCCAAAAACACTGAAACAAGAGCTATTTGTGATTCCTGCCTATAACTAGCTGCTCTAGAGGTGGACTCCCCCCAAATAGATTTATGGTCATGTAAGTACAAATAAATTAGTTTAAGAAGTAACTATGGAAACACGCAGACTAAGTGCAAGTTCCTAATCCACTGTAACACTACGTAACAAGAACTAACTTCAGCCACTTATTATGTATACCACAAAAGCATTTAGAAAGAGTTGCTGTGCAAAATCACTCTACAATCACAATTACTTTTGAGGCACACACGAACAAACATTCGCAAATTAAATTTCAACGCAAACCCATCATACCTGGATTTAAGACAAAACTCATTTATTGCTCTGACTCCAGTGATGAAGTTATTCTGTGTGTATTTTGGTCCATACTCTCTTTTTTTAAGAACTGCTTTCACTTAAAAACAGAAATACATAAACAAGTTAAGTCAGTCATGGAGATGACAGCAAAAACTTCAAAAGATAATTCAATCCATTGTCACACCATGCCACTGCAAAGTGGAGATCTGAAAAAAAATGCTCGTCAGCAAGACAGAAAACTTACAGTGAAGAGAAAGGAATGATATTCCTTGTGGAAATGAGTAAGAGTAGAATGATTTACCTTCAAAAATGCTACTTGCTAAGTTGTAGTTCGGGGCTTTCAAATATCCCACACACTTAACTGCCACTGTCAGCTACTTCTCCAGCTTTGCTGTCAGAGATGGTGTTTGGTTACTAAGATAGCATTCAAATATGGCAATCTGGAAACCCTCGCTCCAGCAACTGAAATGGCAACATAGAGCTCCATTTCTTTTTTTCCAATACTTAACCAATTCCACCTTCTGCAGATAAGATTTTTGACCTTTCAGACCATACACAGAACTGAGAGACTGTTTACATAATTTTTCTCAATGACTGTTTTCAAAATTAGCACACTTAATATTGGGTATTTGTAACAATTACAAATATACATTCTTTATTTAAAATGCCTTGTATGTCTAGAAGATGTACTCTTATCACATTAGATTTTCATGTGCGAGGAAAAGAATACCACAGGCATTCAGGAAAAGGATAAATGGAATTTTAAATTTATGTCACTATTTCCTGCTTGTCTATACATACATAACTTCATCTTAGTTTCAAATGTACGTCACTATACACTCACTTCCATTAAAAACATTATGCTTATTGGAAGAAGAGTTACAGTTGCTGAAAACAAAAAGCTCCAATTCTGCAAGCAAGACTACTTATGAGCACACATGAACTTCCTGCATATCACAGGACTGATGTGATTTCTATAGCTAGCCCAGAACTTCTCCTTAAGTCTCAGGATACCTACAGAAAGATACTACTTTTAAAGACTTCAAGAAAAATTTTCCCAGAGTTTTACCTTGTCTTATTTCTGAGTTTTGAAAGCTGAAAGGCAAAATATATTGACACTCAACAACACACTAACACTACAGATAACAGTATTTACCATAATAAACTGATTTCTGTCATCCAGTTTGAATTTCAACAATTTTAAGTACTTGAGTAATCACATTCATCCCACAATGCTCCTGAGCGAAGGTGACTGTCCTGGTTTCAGCTGGGATAGAGTCAATTTTCTTCCTGGTAGCTGGTGCAGGGCTGTGTTTTGGATTTAGTGTGAGAAAAACGTTGAAAACACACTGATGTTTTAGTTGTTGCTAAGTCCTGGTAGCTGGTGCAGGGCTGTGTTTTGGATTTAGTGTGAGAAAAACGTTGAAAACACACTGATGTTTTAGTTGTTGCTAAGCAGTGCTTACTCTAAGTCAAGGACTTTTCAGCTTCCCGTGCTCTGCCAGCGAGAAGGGGCACAAGAAGCTGGGAGGGAGCACAGCCAGGACAGCTGACCCGAACCAGCCAAAGGGATATTCCATACCATAGAACTCATGCCCAGTATATAAACTGGGGGAGCTGTCCAAGAGGGGCTGATCACTGCTTGGGGACGTGCTGGCCATTGGTCAGAGGGTGGCGAGCAATTGTATTGTGTACCACTTGCCTTTCTTGGGTTTTATTCGCCTCTTTGTTGTCTCCCTTTTCACTACTATTACTATTATATTCTTACTATTATATTTTATTCTATTTCAATTATTAAACTGTTCTTATCTCAACCCACGAGTTTTACCTTTCCCCCCATCCCGATTCTCCTCCCCATCCCACCAGGGATGGGAGAGTAAGCAAGCACCTGCATGGTACTTAATTGCCAGCTGGGGTTAAACCATGACAGTGACAAAAAAAAAAAAAAAATTGTATTTTCTGAAAACAGCCTGTTACTTACTAAGATTAGAACATTTACTAAGGATGAACATTTTTAAACATGAAGAATACCTCTCATCTTTTCCTATGTAAAAGAGATATATATTCAAAATGTATTAACCTTAGCAAAAAATAAGTTGTGAATTTAACAAACACTTACGAATCCATCTTTCAGAAACACAGATAAATTTCACTAAAAGAAAACACTATAACCAATTGTACACTTCAGAGTATCTCAATAGTCCTATCCCTAGTTCAAATAACCATATAAAATTGGTGATAAATGTGGATCAATTTGGTATTTCCAAGAGAAGGACAAAACCCAATAAAAGATGATGCAAATAAAAAACTTTAAATAAAAAACTTCAAATTTTTAAGATTAGTGATCCTTTAAAAATGTTATTGTCTTAGTAATATTTGGATCAGTAAGTTTCTAAGTCACAGCAGCATTGGAAGACCAGAATTCCACTTTCTAGACACTATCAAAATCTTTAACATGAATATTCTTGCTTGCACATCTACAATGGCAAAACTTTGTTGTCACTGAAAGATATATCTATTTTTACAATTATTTCACAGTCTATCTAATTTCTCCTATCTACCCTGTATGTTGCCCCTGCATGCGTACACTAAGTGACAAAGACCCAAAGAAACTGACATACAGGATGTATACAAAAGTGTACAGAAAATACAGAGACACACTGATCTCATCTTGTTATTAACAAGTATTATGATCTGATGTTTCTTTACATTCGGGGAAAGACAGGAAAGAATTTTGATACAGTTTACAGCCTGCTGAGTCAATTCCACTCCAGAGAATTTTTTTTTTGACAGAGTTTAAAGAGAAATGGCAATTTCTATTTTGATAAAGTTCTTTTCATAGATGGAAGGCTAGGAGTGATCAAAAGCACAGTACTTAATAGCATAATTCTCACAATAACATAATAAAAACTATCAGAGTGAGTATGGAATGAAATTAAGTCATGATAAATTAAAAACACAAAAGAAAGTAAGAAAGTTATGCTCTGATTTTATCTACTTATGTTTTTAAACAATGTAACTAAAGACAAAAGCATGTATTTACTTGTAATGGGTTTGCATGGCAAGGTTTTGGCAGCAGGGGAGCTATAGGCGTGGCCTCTGTCAGAAGCTGCCAGAAGCTTCCCCCATGTCTGATGGAGCCAATGCTAGCCGGCTCCAAGGTGGGCCTGATGCTGGCCAAGGCTGAGCCCATGAGCGATGGCAGTAGTTCCTCTGGGGTAACAGAGCTAGGGACCGGACCGAGGGGGTGGACAGGGGACGGGACGGGACTGCACAACTGCAGCCAGAGAAGAGGGGAGTAAGACTATGCAAGAGCAACAACTCCACAGACACATAGGTCCATGAAGAAGAAGAGGGAGGAGGTGCTGCAGGCCTGGAGCAGAGATTCCCCACCAGCCCGTGGTGAGACTGGTTGTCCTCTGGCAGTCCATGGAGGCCCACGCTGGAGCA